TTTGCTCAAGATAGCAATGCAGGGATGGTGATTTCAAATTCTTTCAAGTTGCATTTAAAATCAGTAACTTGCAGTATTTTAGATGTTTTGTAAAATTCAAGATGATGAAAAGCTTATTTGTGGATTGTGATTATGATTTTGACAGTATTTTAGAAGAATTTTGGAGCCCATAGTGACACCTGGTGATTTGGAGCAACAACCTCAACCAGTGTCGACATTATTTGAAATATGCCAGAAAAGGGGGAAGCGTGTTGAGTTTAAACATGTGCGAACCAAAACAGCTAGCATAGCTAATGTCTTTGTTGATGGAAAGTTTATAGCGTCTGCTTCGTCCGCCCAAAAGGATCTGGCTAAACTTGAAGCTGCCAAGATTGCTTTGGATACATTAGCATCACTGGTTACTCCTCCCACAAGTATAAAATCTTCCAACCGTGAGATACAATTAAATTTTTGTACTGACGAAGATGGGAACATAACTATTGATGCAGCTAAACATAGACTACACGAATATTGTGAGAGTAAAAAATGGTCTAAACCAATATACAGGTACTTTTTTAAGATGAGTTATTAAAAGAGTAATATTAATTTTTATGTGTGAAACTTTTGACATGTTTTATTTTTAATGGTTTACAGGATTGAAAAGGATTCGGGTCCCTCTCATGAAAAAAGATTTATTTGTTCTGTGCAGATAACTATAGAAGAAGAGGCCCGGATTCTTCAAATATCTGGCTGTGAAAAATCTAGGGTGAAGGATTCACAAAACTCTGCTGCTTCAATGATGCTTATGGCCTTATTTGAGGTGTAATCTGAGAGGAGCGGTGTTGTAATTTTTTTGGGGGTGACTCCCATCTCCTATTGCATTTTCTCAGCGTCATCTTCTTTGGTAATCTGTTATTGTTTAGCGTCATCTCCTTTTGTAATCTGTTATTGTTTAGCGTCATCTCCTATTGTAATCTGTTATTGTTTAGCGTCATCTTATTTATAATTGGACGTTCGCAATGAATCATGAATCTGAATATTTAGTTCTGGCAAATACCTTTATAATTTTTGTGGATACCACTTTTGGTCTCTCTTCAGTCCATACTATTCAAAGTCATAGAAACTAAAAGATAAAGTTTTCTTGTGTAGGATCTGAATGGTAAATTTATTAAACTATAGTGACCAAATAAATAATTTTACAAAAAGAAAATTGATAAAATATTTTAGAATCACTAAGAAAAGAGTATTAAGAAATGTTGAACTGAATAGTGAAAAATGTTACTGAAATTGAAAAATAATTTGCCAAAATCTAAACTATTTTTATGATTTGAACTCTAACTTATTTTTTAACCAAAACTTTTAAATGCTTTAGTATAAATATTATCCTAAGGAAATTTGTTAAAGAATTTTATAAATATTTAATAAAAGAATATAATACTGAATTTATTAAGATTTTAAAATTTATAGTTGATCGAATATTCATTATATATATTCAAACTCTTAAATTAATATTATAAGATAAACAAAAAGTAATTATAAGATAAACAAAAAGTAATTTTAAGGAGAGAATTAGTACGTACTATGTTATTAAAAATACAAGAAAAATTAATGATTAATTTGTCCATGTCCTTGCTCTCATGTGATCTACCCATGTAATTGTCAGATTAGATGCTGACCTGTTTACATCAAGCGGAAAAGGTAGATCCTTCCGTATCAATTTCCATTCTTAGTGCATGCTCATCTGAAAATGCCATTTAATGTTCGCTCACAGCAAGTTAGAAAATTTCAGAATGATAGTAAAGCAACAAGTCAAGGTCTCTGTTCTCACGACACCATCATATGATCAAATCCTCCTCCACCTTGAAGTGTAGGAACTCGATTGACTCCGATATTGTGAAGCAACTGCTGTAGCCACCGCCTTGCTGTTGGGTCCTCCTGCATACATGAAACAAAACCAATATAAAATACAACCCATCTAAAACTATGAATCATAATCTCTTCATAAGGATGAGAGAAATCTCTATCTAAGAAATTTGAAGAAGAAAGCAAGCTTTAGTTTTTAAATATCATCCTTTTAATCTTCAACCCATCTACTATCACTTACACGAAGGCAACTACTGAATGTAGCGTCTCTTAACATGTCTGGGAGACAGGTTCTTAAAGCCTCGCAAGCACTGTTTTGAAATGACCAAAGCTTTATTAGAAACTCGGGAAGAGAACGAAAAGGGGCAAGGCAGGAGGAGCACTTAGAAAACTGGAGTATTATTTAAAACCTCTGGTTATCTGACAGGCGAAGATAGCAACGAATAATATGCTTCAAAAGACGGCATGACGGTTGCTCAACAAGAGTTGCCACCATGTTTCCCAAAACTCGACCTACTGCATAAAAGCGTTCTGCTGTAGTGCAAATATATTTCAAACCAATTTCGTCCAGCAGAATTTTTTGGACTATAAAGGTTGCAACCTGTAGTAAAGGAGATTTCATTATACACAAATTTTCCAATATACAATTGTTTGATAGGCGTAGAAGAGGATCACGAGATAAGGGCAAAAACAAACATGTGACTTAGCATTTATTGAACACGATCAAGTAAATACAAGGATGAAAATCTCGAGTATAAAGAACGGTATTTCAACCCATGTACTGCAAATACTGGATGCATTTTGATACAATCAAATATGTCAAAAAGAGTATCAACCTTCCCGTGACAACCAAGAATAAAGGGCCTATAGTTCACTTACTATGTAGCACGTATTGGAACAGACCTCACAGACTCACGTGTTCATCACACAACCAAATAGCTCAGAAAAATAAATAAGGAAAAAGAAGTCAATTTCAATTCATCCAAACAAAATATTTTGGCAGACCACACTGGTTAAAAACAAGATCAGTAAACTTAACCGTTTTTGATAATTCACTGCCCATTTCCATACTGCGCAAGCACAGCGGAATAATCTCTGTTGAAAGAAGAAAACTTATAACTTCTGTATCATCAACCTGATGAAATATCAACGGAAAGGAAATCAAACACATGACAAAAGAGTACAAATGTACATGTGGTAAGCAAAAAAAGCAATATTTACATCTCACAAGAGAAAAATTATCAACAATATTGCGAAGGCCTTAAAATAGTTGGAATATTTTATTCTCAGAAAGTAGTGATAAACACATCCTAACAAGTGGGTTTGTGTGTTCACAGGAAAGTTAACAGAAATAACTGAAAATAGACATGACCATTATAAGACTAAAGCAACTAACTATTTGTGGCAACTAAACTATATACACGTCTAGCTGTTTGTCACAGATTTACAATAATCAATAATTAGTTAATACTGTTTCCAGAGAAGGCATTAATTGAGGTGATTGCAGTTGATACTTTTTTATGGCAGGGTTTTTTGTGGCAATACTTTTACTGATTGCAATTGTTTTCTTTTCAGCATGAATGTTGTATAAATTCTTCCCATATAGCGTATCCAACAACAAAATCAACAA